GCCAGATCGATTTCCATAGTGTCTGCCTCACTTCTATCATAGTTTGCTAACCTCTCTTTCATTGTAGATTAACTTCTCCTTTTAACTCAAGTTAATACATGCTTACCCGCTAACCAAGGACTTATCCTTCCTTACACTCCCACCTGTGGTAACCATTAAAGAATGTTTCTGTTACGAAGAAAACTTTTGACTTTTTACAATCGTGGTCTCATACAATATTTGTCTTGTGATTGACTGATTTCACTCAGCATAATGTCTTCCAGGTTAATCCATGTTATGATGTGTTTGTTTCACAGATTCACCATCATTTTTCAATGTGCCTAGCATTCCACTGTGTGTATGAACCAAAGCTTGTTTATCCTTTCTTCCATTGATGGGCATTAGGTAGTTTCCATATTGTTGCTGGATGAACAAGGCTATGCATGTATCTATTTCTGTGTTGGCTCTTGTTTTGCTAGGATATATACCAAGCAGAAGAATTGTTGGGTCTTATGGTATTTCTATTTCCAACTTTTAATGTAGCACCATACCATTTTTCACCTTGGTCTCTCTTTTAAACTTCTAATTTTGAAATATCTTCAGTCAACTGAAAAGTTGTAAAAATAGTATAATGAATTTCTGCATTCCCTCTGCCCATATTCACTAATTTTTAGCATTTGCCATATTTGCTTTATCATATGCATGCATGTATGTACACAACAATATGCACATATATATGATATACAAGGGGGCCACCCCCCCAAAAAAAATACAGAATTTATTTTGAAAGCCATGTATTTAAATTTTTTGATAAAGCAACCTTATCCCCTTCAAAGTACTCTCCATTACACTAATATGCTTGTCAAATCTGTTTCCTTTCTTGGAAACATTTTGCAAACTCATCTGTTTGGATGGCTGACAGCACATTTCTCTTTTTTTTCTTCACATCCTCTCCATCATCAAATTGCTGTCCTTCACGTTCCTCTTCATTCGTGGAAACAAAAAGAAGTTGCACGGAGCGAGGTCAGGTGAGTAAGGTGTGTGGGGCAAGAGAGGCAAGCTGTTTTTCTGCCAAAAACTTGCACACTGAGGTGGTTGCATGAGCTGGTGCATTGTTATGGTGGCAAAACCAATCTCCTGTCTGCCACAAATCAGGCCTTTTTTTGTCACACGCCGTTACACTATCTTTTCAGAACCTCTAAATAGAAAGTTGAGTAACAGTCTGACCTGATGGAATGAACTCCAAATGCGCCACAAGTTGACATTTTCATCAGTTTGGAAAGTTGATAGATGTCCAGAATGAGCTTTGTCATCAATCAACAGTTCACCTTTTTGAATTGCGAAAACTACTCATGCACTTGAGATTTTCCCATAGCACTGTCTTTGTAGGCTGTGTTCAACATTACAACAGTTTCTGCAGCCTTTTTCCCGAAGCAGGAAACAAAATTTCACAGCTACGCGCTGTTCTTTTAAATTGGCCATCACAAAAAAATGAGGTTCAAGCAAAACTGCTTTTTAAAAAAATTCACTGCGACCAGAAAGAACTTTCCCAGGTGATGCCACTGGATGCACTAACGCAAGGCGAGTTGCTGGATGCTCACCCAGAGGGAAAAATGCATACAACAAAAGATCCGCTCTGCCCAGCTCTGTGGGAAACTAACACCGAGGGAAATATGACTAGGACTATATTCCCTAACTTATAACGAGGGAATCTGGAAAACTAGAATTCCACGGTAGGAAAACCACCACTTTGGGAAATTAGAGATCAAGTCCAAGTACATTATCCTGCATTAAATATCATTCCCACAGATTCTCCCCTAACAGCTATGCTGCTTTAAAGTGGGCACATAGTTGATTCTTTCTCCCTGTGAAGCAGACATTCTTATTATCTCTTCCCACCATAGCACCCATCCTCCCTCATGCCTCTCCCCAATGCAGGTATTAGGTTTCCTCACCGGTAAGCTCAGGGACTTTACTGTGGTTACCCACCACCATGTGACATATGTAACTACTGAATATGCATGTCTTATGGCTACCTACATATATCCCAAGATAGTAAAGATTCTCTCTCTCTGCGCAGACCTGGCTCCTGAGATCATGGTCATCCCTTAGGCAAGCATACTACCATAAAATGTGTCTGACTCCTTTATTTTACTCTCTCTTCTATCTTCTATGATTTTACTTTGATCCTTATATATTATAACCTATAAATGTACCTATGGACCCCTAGGTTGTTAGAGGCTGGTTTACTCTGACAAAGCACAATTCCAGGTTTTTTGGGGGGTACCCCCTCATATATACATCTCTGTGTGTGTATATACACACATGATTTATTACTGTTAATTTTGACTCAT